TCTGGATTTCCAGATTTAAAAATGGGTACAATTTCCGCTTTTTTTAAATGATCAGGAAAAATTCCGTCTATAATACTCTTATTGATAATATGTACGAGCGATTTGATTACATAATGTGAAATTCTTTTTATAATTTGAATTGATATTTTATTGCTACCTGCCTTTTTGTTACTGTTCATACTTGCTATTATTGTCAGAATTTCTACTTCATTGGTCAGTGTAAAATCGAGTCTCGTATCGTAGGCTCGTTTGCCACACCAATTTCAGCTAAGAATTTGTTGAGATGATTAGCGATATCGAGCTCAGTTTCGAGAACTCAATTTTCACCTTCAGTATAGATTTTATTTATCACTTGTTTCTCAATCTTATTTTTTCTCAATTTTTTATTAATGTATTTCCATATATTATTGACGCTATTCAATAACTTACTATTTCATTGTCATATGACTTTTTGGCTTTTTTTATTAAAGTGTTTAGCACATTTTTATATCTAATACATTTACTTTTAATTTTAATATTATCAGGATTCAGTTTCATTTTTTTATATAGTAGGTTTTTTTTACATGATATAATTAAGCTCTTAGAGATCCATTCCTTTCTGGATTTATTTTTACCACGAATTCGTGTTTTAGTTGAAGAAAGGTCAATACTTTGTTCGATGATCTTTATAAATTTATCAAACGCAAGATTTAAATCTGTTTCATAATATACAAAATTCCAATTTATATTAGTCATTATTTTCATTAATTTGTTGTATTTTATTTGGGTTTTGAGTATTGGATTTATATTTGGATGTCTAACAGTTGGTATGGTGTCTATAACCATCATTGTTGCAAGGTGGTCTGTCAAATCCAGATCACATACTAATGGTGTTATAGAAATACTTTCAACGGTTTTAGCAAAAACATGGTCTATACATGTTGCTGAGTTTAATGTGATCCTAGTAAGGATGTTTATCAAAGATCAGTAACCAAATTCCAAAAAATTATTAAGATAATCATTAACCAATTCATTATCATTCAATATGTCATGGTTCATGTCTCCCATTATAATGTGATTATCAACATGGGACAGATCATGTAAATAAACATACAAATCACTTATAAAATCCGATAGCGTAACGCTGTGGGATCTATAAAATGATGAAATATAAATTTTTCCGTTGTTGGATTCCAGTTCAGTATATATTACTTTGATTTTTCCCATGCTTTTGCTAAAGTTCGTATGTCTAATAGTATTCCTCACATATATGCAAGTACAATCATTCCTATTTAAATTACTATAACTATTTTTTAAAACAATTTTTCTGATCAAGAAAGAGACCGTTTCAATGACGGTACTATTTTGATTTTTGAGCTAGATGAATGCGATTAACATTTTTCATGAGAATTAAGGGAATATTTTCATCACGATTAACTGCATAAATCGAATGATATGTGTACTCAATCATGATGAAAATATTTTTTCTGGACGCCTCAAAAAGCGCTGAGATCAAAACGTTTAACATAGCACATATATGGTAAATTATGTTGAGCTCAGAATTTAACACATACATGTCATTACTCTACTCACTAGGGGGCAGATTTTAATGAAATAAAATTAATTTCTTTTCCCTTTAGAACAATTATGTTTAGTGTACAATTTCATTTTATGTGATAACGTAACGACCCATTGTTGTCTTCTTCTTTTCTCTCTCTCTCTCTCTCTCTCTCTCTCTCTCTCTCTCTCTCTCTCTCTCTCTCTCTTTTTTTCTTCTCTCTCTTCCTTTTGACACCATTTTTACTGCATTTTCGCTTATTTAATCAATTTTAATGGTACTACCTTCTGACAATATTTAGAAGGAGCAACAAATATTTACCACAGAATTCCTGAGTACTGTATTCAATTTCTTCCCTCTTATATTGTAATGGTGGCCTTTGTTAGTACTGTGTATTCTATATCATTTTTTGCAATTTTTAGGTCAATATCAAAATCTGCCCCTACTAATTGCTTTACATTACATTTCAACACTTTAGAACGCTATCAAAACTGCACAAAAGGAACAAAATGCCCCAAACACATCCAAGCCTCAAACCTTTTTCATCCAAACAGATTCTCTTGACTGACTGAGTTATGGAATTAAACATTGCAATTTTGGGACAATTTAATTCTTGGATCATTTCATTTATCTTCACCCTCTTTGTTATGTATTTTTCTTCTAAATTTCAGGGAGTGTTAAATTGTGAGTTCATTTTGTATATCATTATGGATGGTTCTTTTCTTGTGATTTGTGCAAGCATAATAGTTTTATATATGCTTACTTAGAGAAAATAGAATTAGAAAAATTATGTCTTTAAAAAATCTTAAAATTACATTTATAAAATATAGGTCCTCATGTAATTGTTTTCACTCAATTTTACAGGTGGCTCGAATAGCAGTGCCGTATGCCCAACATGCCAAAAAAGTTGATATGAAAGTGTTGAAAATGGCAATTTGGAGTGCTTTGAGTGACCATAAACAGAATGGCGTATGTATTCACGATTTAATTATTTGCCCTATTATTTCTGAATGCTATCACAAATTAATCATGTATAAAGAATAATATTTGTGTATATCAATTGTTGCTTGTGCTAAGTATCTTCATCTCATATCCGTTCCATGTTGTTTTTTGACATTCTACTACTAATTCTGTTGTGAAGTAAGAAAAAATGAGTAACCCTTTTTCTAATGTTTCAAGTTGGTTGTTTAATAACAAATTAATATCAAACAAATGACAAACTATCCCAATGCAGTTTTACTTTCAAACAGGCAATTGCATGTGTGCCTCTTGCCAAATGTATGCATTCAGAATGCTTTCAAATCCTGTCAGCTTGTTACATGTATTTTGCACATGTATATTCCCATCTGAAATATGGTATAATATTCTAGGGAAACATGTTCTATAGAACCCAGAATTGCAGATTGCAGAAAAAAATTGTACGAATGATAAGCAAATGTCATCCTCATGATTCCTGCGTGTCTCTATTATTAAGTTTGGAATCCTTTCATTGTCTTGCGTGTTTGCGAATAAAGATCAGAATTTATTTTAATAACAAAGTAAAATATATACTTATGAGTTTTTTTTTCCAAAAGATATAAGAAAAATTACAAAATATGTAAAATAAAATTTCATGATAGTGAATAAAATTCTCAATACAAGCATTTTCCGAGCACAGAAAGAGAGAGAGAAAGAGATCATTTATGATATCTTACCATGGATTCAGGGCGGCTGAAAGACAGTTCTATTTCCACAGAAATAATTGTACTCATATATCGTAAATTTTTAAGAATTTCATTCAAAATATAAAATACATGTCTGTATACAACTTGACGGAGAGCCAATGACCAAGCAAATAGTAGTAAGGGGGAGGTAAGTTTGACAGTTCATTGTGAAAATGTAGTGGTCATAGTAGAGTAGTAGCATTATACTGCTTTGTAAGAAAGATAATTCCCATACATATATTGCAAACATCCATCTATAAAGTTCTGTTTCGACATAAAGATATATTAAGATACAACTTAATTTAAGAAATGTTTAGCAATGGGTTAAATATGTAATTGTACCTAAAATATTTCTAATTAGTTCAGAATATCTTGTAAACTCCATAAAATATAATTAATTGAAGGTATATAGTTTTTGTCAAAATTGACAAAAGTGGGAACACATTTTCATGCAATACAGATATCTAAAACAGCACGCATCTTAGGAATAATTTTCAACAGGTGTCAGTATCAATAACTCAGTACAGGAAATATTTACATCTCATTCCCATATGACATTAAACAATTTATATTGATACACAAATCTGTCAAATAAATTATTTCTGTTCCTAACTATTTCTGTATAATTAAAGACTACTGAATATCAAAAAGTTAATAATATTTATTTTACCAAAGATATATAATGCATTAGTTGACATTTGTACTGTATAATTCTAAAAGGCTGTTCTAATCCTGAAAGAATGTTCAGGTAACAAGTTTTACTTCAACTCCTGGGTCAGTGACCCCTATCTTTATCAGGATTTTGGTCTAGTTTTTTTCATCCATTGAGCAAATGCTGAGATGGCCTCTTGTTTTGCATCTGGACATTTGTGTAGCTTCACTTGGTGCACATTTCGTGAAGCTCTCCGTTTGCTGGTTGTGGCAGAAGTGGAGCCTGGGGTGTGGGTTGCTATCTTGTTAGCAATATTACGAAATCAAATCTGTGTGTAATCATTTAGCTATGCAAATAGGTTTTCTGTACTTCAGAGTAAACATTTCTTGTTTTCAGATGTTGCTATCCACACTCTGTGACTACTATTCAACATTCAATTATGTATAGCAAAAGGTATTCTGAAGCTCAAAGAAACTTGTGCAGATTATACTTCTCTGCCATTTGTCACACGCCGTTTTACCCCCTCCCACCCCGACTCTTTTTTGGTGAATTTTTTACAGCTGTTGCTGTTTCTCACTGCTTAATTTTAATTTCTTTGATTTTCCTCAAACTTTATCAACTAATTTTCTTTGCCATCATCATTGTTGTCATTTCTTTCTTGATCTACGTCATATACAGTTTTTTTCTGTTTTTTGACTAAATAAATCTAAATCTATATCTTCTTTTGTACTAATATCCCAAGATTCTTTTGCTGGAGAATCTGTCATGTAATGGTTGAAAAGTTCGTTAGATACAATTTGCAATATTGTATATAATACAAAAATTGCGTACCCATTACAGATAAAACAAGAAAGTATGTGCTGTTGAGTACTGCAACTTTTTATTTATTTTTTTACGCAGAAGCTTTCTTGTATTGTTTTCTCATATTTCTGTACCTTATGTACAAATATACTATTCTTAAATGTATGTTGTTTTTTTCTTTCTTTCAGGAGATTGATGCAGGATTGACACCAAAACAAAAAAAGAGACTAAATAACAATAATATTAAGAATACAAATTCATCACAAACTTCTCTTATGGAGGGACAAATGAACTTTTCAGAAATGGAAAGAATAGTAATTAAAAAAGTTCCAACAGATATGGCTCAGGAATTGACTATGCCATTAATTTTTACTGCTCTTCTTCATTTAGCAAATGAACGTATTTTATCTCTGAAAGGTCTTGAAGACCATTCTGATATCATTATTACACAAGATAGTGGTGCTGAAAAATTTATTCATCAACTACAGCAAAGAGAATTTGTGTAGTTAATGTGTATAAATTTCTACATCTGACAATTTTATAACAATGTGTATATAGTACAAACATAATATTGTGTAAATAATAAAAAAGAGGATAATAAATAGAATTTATCTTTATATGTGCATATTGCTTTGTGTTTGTGTGGGTGTCGTTAGGGCCGGGGGTGAACCACCAGAACAAATTCCCCTAATTTTTTCAAGAAGAAACATAGGGGACTTTGTAATCCCAAAATTTGGGTTACTAGAAATTATACTATGTACAATGAATCTAAAGAGTGGCATTGTTGGTTGTTGCATAGTGTGGACTGAGGTCTTGGAAACATGGGTAAGCAGAAGGCAGGAAGTATTAAAATTGGGAGCATTTGTGAAGAGAGACTGCTACTTTTGAAGTATCATCTTGCTTAGAGTAAAATCAGAACTCGTTGATTGTCTTTGCAGAGTAGACAATGGGCAAGCACGTTTTCGCTTACTTCCAGTTGTCTTGGGTTTGGTATTAAACATAATAACAATATGAAAACTTCATATTAATTACAAAGTAAAATTGTTACTGTGTATTGTTACTATCCATACGGATTCGTCTATAAAACAGTATTAATTTTGAAAGTGACGTTGCAATGTAAACAAGTGAAGGAAAACAAAAAGCAAGACGCTTTATTTAAAATTGTGCCGGATCTAAGGAAATGTATTCACTAACAAATAGACCCAGTATGAATAAACTGGAGGGTACAAATTATAAAAACAGCACTGATATTAAGTTGTTTGAGAATGAAACCAAAAAGAACAATTTTGCGTTAAAGGACGTCAAAAGGTGTGTGAGTAATATATAATTTTAAAAGGAAATAAAATGATAAAATAGAAATGAAACAGCCTTCAAACATAGTGGTTAATTGTGGAAATAACTGATATGTCAGTATTATTAAAACAAACATGAGGGGAAATATTCTATAACAGTTGACAGGGGAAAGGATGGCAGATTTTTTAGTTAGTGTTAACGAGCCGTGAAAAAAATGACAACAATCATAAACGGCCTGTTTGTCAGACGGAGGCTTCTGATTACTGACTGCTAGTGCGTCACCGTGTATACACACACATACACGAAGGGGTACCCAAATATAACCGGAATAGCTCTGCTATGAGCGCGCCTTGGGCAGTATGAAATTATCCTGTTAGGAGCGTGCAACGCAACGCATTGTAGTTCATTTCCGCCTAGGCACATTGAACTGGCTTGGTCTATTCGTCGCAGTTATAGTTTTCGCGAGTGCTGTTTTGTCCGTATTTCGTGTTTTGTGTGTGTGTGTGATGGCAAGTTTAGGTGAACAACGTGCAGCTGTAAAATTTTGTTTTTTACTTGCGAAAATGCTGCTGAAACTGTTAATGTTTAAGATTGCTTACAAAGATGACACACTGGGAAAAACTCAAGTGTACGATTGTTCGCTCGTTTGAAAAATGGTAACATGTCAATTGATGACAAACCTCGTTCTGGACATCCTTCAACTGCCCGAATCAACAAAAATGTTGACAAAATTCGAATGCTGTGCACACTTCGACAGAAAATTAAACAACTGTTAGAGATTAGTGGGATATCTTGGAGCTCGGTTCAGCGAATTTTAACGGACGATTTGAGCATGAAAAAGTTTGCTGCCATGTTTGGTCTTCGGTTTCTGACTGGCATCCAAAAAGAAAATAAGAGTTGAAAATTGTGCATTGAACCAACATGAAACCGATCCAGCTTTTCTGTCAAAAATAATTACTGAAGATGAGTCATGGTGCTACGGTTACGACCCAGAAACAAAACAACAGTCAAGCTAATGGAAGACAACCTCCTCCAAAGAAATGTCAAGTCAAATCGAACATCAAAACAATGTTGATTTGCTTTTTTTATGCCAAGGGCGTAGTTTATGCAAGAGTTTGTTCCCCCAAAACAGTCCATAAACCAAATATTTTATTTGGAAGTCTTAAGAAGATTGCGCAACAGTGTTCGTCAAAAAAGACCCGATTTGTGGGAGGCAGAAGAGTGTTTCTTCCATCACTACAACGCACCTGCTCACACAGCCATCAGTGTTCGGCAATTTTTGGCTAAAAATAACATGGTACCGCTGCCCCACGCACCCTACTCTCCTGATTTGGCTCCGTGCGTCTTTCTTGTTCCCACGTGTGAAGAATGGCATGAAAGGACAACGGTTTGAAAACATAGAAGAGGTTAAAAAAAGGAGGAGCTTTCATCCATTGCTAAGGATGACTTCAAAAAATGTTTCGGACAGTGGAAGCACCGCTGGGACAAATGTATTAGTGTTAATGGAGAGTATTTTGAAGGAGATAAGGTTGTATTGTAAGAAATTGGAAAGAAGGTGAATGATTGGAAAGAAATGAAGGACTTACTCTCGGAGAACGAGGTGTTTGGAGGCTAACAGAAAATATTCGAGATCCGACTGAGTCTATCTTTTGACAGATTCTTTACGAGTGTGAGACTTCTGAACTCACTGAAATTTCCTGCTGTTGGAACATGTATATTGAACAGAAAAAAATATGCCAAAATCCCTAACAATTTGGAAAAGGCGAATTTTGAATTTCAAACAATTTTGGAACTCTTGCTGCTTGATGGAGGGATTCGAAAGATGTAATTGTTCTGAGTAACTGTCATGGCACAACGACCAAACCAGTAGAAAGGAAGCAAAAAGATGGAACCAAAGTATCAATAGAATGTCCTAAAGCAATTTCATTTTATAATAAAATTATGGGTAGAGTTGATCTGTCTGATCAGAATGTTTCCACCTATGACCGCAAATCCAATAAGTGGTGGAAAAATATTTTTCACAAATTACTGATGATTGCAGTTGTGAACGCATGGATGGTTTTCCAAGACATGAAAAAGAGGAAAACACCCCTTCTGGACTATATGGCTCCTCTGTCAGAAAGGCTCCTAGCTTCAGGAAAGTCAATGGCACAAGTTCAAAGAAAACCAACTAGTAGACGTCGATCGGTGGCACGGAAACTGATGTTGAATGTTGGAAAGCACATGCCTGTGGAGGGGAAAACAAGGAGGCGGTGCGCTAAATGTGCATCACAAAAAATCGAGAAAAGAACAAAAACATTATGCACAACGTGTGATGTTCTTTTGTGTACAAGTTGATTTGCTTCATATCATTCATTTTCTAATCTGGATTTTGTATACCAATGGGACGCATGTGTCCCACATTCCAGTCCCATCGGGGCATATGTCCCAGGTCCTATTTCAAAATTCCTGAAATGAAAAATTAAATTTAAGATAAATTGTTAAAAAGAACTCGGATCAGAAAAAGAATTTTAACATCCGCGATGATCCACTACTGAAGGGAAATGCCTTGGTGCGAAAGTCCCTGCAGGACGCAATGGATTAGTTGCGTATGAATTTGTTGGCATCATCGCATCACTCATGGCACACTCCCAATTCTTTGCACAATTAATAATAGTTATTATAGTCCCCAGTGCGGAAATTCTTTCATCTAACAGCCGGTTACTGATTCGTTTCTGAATTATTACACACTCAACGCACGTTCGCCAAATGTTTCAAGCAATAGGGTTCTCTACTGAATAATCATATCTCTTTCAACTCCTACTCTCTTTCTGCGAGTTCTACTCACTTCACTTACTTTCCTCGCGACTATTACATTTAATTGTTCCGAAGTCTTTCAATGCGTTTCGACAGCGTCTGATGCTGCAGCTCTGCCAAAAGAACGTTTTACCACAGTGGCTCGGACGAAAAGCACCTTTTACTTCGACAGCTCAGACGAGAAGCAAGGGAGCAAGTGATGAGCCAATATAAATAATATAAATTACAATCAAGTACTTCGACATCACACTCGAAACCATGGAATATTTCATCCCATCATGCGGCTCGAGCCGAACGTGTAGAAAAGTTTCGGAAAACATGTTGACACCGGTCTAGAAAATCCATTTTTTCTAAAATGTCGCTTCCAGGAAGACACCCACAATTAGCTGGATCATATGTAAACGGACACTCGAAAACATCGAGACGGCCAGTCTCTTGAGTACGTCACCGCCAGCGGCCTTGAGCGGAGAACCAGCCGCATCAGCAGCGATTAAAATGTCTTCAGCTAACAACGAGATGCCAGCCGGAGAATCGAAAGCCATGATAAGCTGACGCCAAAATGAACGCACTCGATATCCTTACAATTACTTCCATTACGTTCTCTCTCTTTCCTATGTCTTTGTAATATGTAGTGGCAATGAATAAGTGAGCAAACTCATACTTTAACTTACAATGATTGTAAGTTATTTCCATTACTTATCTCAACCTCTCTCCCTTCAGGCTACTCAAATCATTCTTCCGTGACCTCTACTATGTGAATTAGGCTTCTCAGTAGCATTCGCATTGGAGGAGACGTCAAACTGTCTGCAAATGACGTTCGAGTTTCGCAGAATTTGGCAAGACGCGGGCGTCCGTCAACGACGTCCGCGATAGGGTGGAAGAAACCCCGTGACGCGCGCCCGCCAGTCGCGGCAATGAAGTTGGGGAGGGGTCACGTGGACCGCCGGAGCCTACGAGGCGATCTGGAAGACACTAGCTCTGCCATGTTCATTCCGATCAGTGTCACAAGGATTAGTGGGCCTGCGGCGTCGTGCGAGGGCAGTTGCTGCAACTCACGGGCCACGTCACGGATGCACTGCCGCCGCCCCGGAGCCCTTGCCACATCCTTGCCGACTCTGGGGACGAGAACAAACGCAGCGAGTCATGCACTTATAAGTGCCGATCGCGAGCCCAGACAGTGGACGACAGGCCGGGTAAGAGCCAGCGCGAGTCGAGCCCTTAATGCCCGACCAGCGCTGTTGACGCAGTCAACGCTGCTTCAATCTCCAATCCACGAGCCCAGCACGCTCCTCCGGCTGAACGCCAAGAGATGTGAGCTAGATGCAGTCGGCCGACGACCGTCGCTGACATAACCGGAGTCGTGAACAAGCTTCCTTTATCACCTCGTTCTAATCTATTTTTAAGATCTGTATCAAGAACACAATAATTATAACCAGGAAGATGTATTTCAAACACTAAATGATTAAAACCTCAATTACTTATACCAGCTCCATGTTTTTTAGATTTCCAAAATG